AAAAGGTAAACATTTTTGACAGATATTCAATTATTAAGAAATTATTTTCAATTTTTATAGATATTTGATGCATACGATAGCGAACAATTTCATAGTAAACGTTTGCCCAGCGTTATTCAAGTGAGAATAGCAGGAATGAAGGGTATATTTGTTCATGATCCCAATTTAGAAGAGGATATTTTACAATATCGTAAAAGTCAATTCAAATTTAAATCTACTCATTTATACTTAGAATTAATTAATTATTCAAAACAAAGTTAGTACACATACGTATCGATGAAAATTATTTGTTAATATAATCTCTTCTTCTATAGATCCATTGTTTTGGAATCGACAAGTTATTAATCTATTAAACCATATGGGTGTAAGTACACAGACATTCTTACAATTACAAAATGAATGTCGTAAACGTGTATCGATGTCACTGTTATCAAAAAAAGCAGCTACATCTATGTTAAATCATATTCACTATTATAATTGGGATCTGATCAAAACATCTTTTTATATGACTGAAGAACCATTTATTAGATCGCTGTTATTGATTTTATCTGGTGATAGGTAATCAAGTCACACAAGTGAATAAATCATTTTAATTTTCTTTACTTTTTAGATTACGTCGATTGAAAGATAAGACTCATGTACCAATAGCATTTGGAGACGGACGGTCGCTCTACGGTGTAGTGGATGAAACAAATTCATTAAAGTATGGCGAAATATTTATTCAAATATCGGATAAAGATGAGAATGATAAAGAGATATTCCGAATTATTTGTGGTCACGTTGCTGTTACCAAGAATCCGTGCCACAATCCAGGTGATATAAGAATACTTAAAGCTGTTGATAAACCACGGTTACATCATTTATTCAATTGCATTGTATACCCATGCAAAGGACCGCGACCACATTCTAATGAAATGAGCGGTAGTGATTTAGACGGGGATGAATTTTGGGCATGTTGGAATGAGATGATTGTTAACGAAGTTCAACAAATCTTTAAACCAGCATTGTATCCAAAGGCCATCAAACAAGAAACAAATAACATTACTCAAAATGAAATTGTTGAATTTTTGCTAGATTTTATTTCTTGTGATTCTGTTGGAATACTCTCGAACCGTCATTTGGCATGTTGTGCATTATACAATCCTCAACATAAAAAAGCACTTAAGTTAGCAAAAATTATATCTGATTCATTAGATTATCCTAAAACGGGTATAAATCCTGTAACAACAAAAGTATTAAAAGATTTACAGTTTAAAGCATATCCAGATTATATGCAAAATCAACATAAACAAGTATTTCAATGTCAAAAAGCTTTAGGATGGATGTTTCGGAATATTAAAGAGGTTCATAACTGCCATATGCAGATACAAGATGATAGTTCATTTAAAATTCAATTAGATCAAGACTTATTCATTGAAGGTTTTGATAAATATCTTGAACAAGCCAAACAAACGTATCGCGAATATTGTGATAAATTGAATATAATATTACTAATGTATGATTTATCCAACGAATATGAACTAATAACCGGTTATCATTCATGTACGATCGAAGAACAACACAATAATGACAATATTGAAACAGCAAATCAAGAATTTCGATCGTTAAGAAATGAAATAAAACATAAATTCAATGAAGAATTTTTAGAGTACTTACATGCACAAACTGAATTACATAGAAGTATCACTCACTATTTTATTTTATTTTAGTTCAAATGTAGAACAATCTAATTTGGAACGAATGAGAAAAGTGTCTGCCTGGTATTACGTTGCTTATACGGATTACGATAAAGAAAATCCAATATTAAGTTTTCCGTGGGTATTTAGTGAATATCTTTGCAAAATAAAACAGCTCAATGTTAATAAAAAAGCAACAACAACAACAGCAGCAGCAGCAAATCATCGATCATTAGAAAAAATTGGTTTGGCTTTAAGCAACAGATACAGACATCTTTCTTCCGTTTCATCCTCTATCCCAAATTTTCTATTCTCAATTGTGGTTTCATGTGCTGCGAGTTTAGAATTGTTGTCAAGATGGAATTCAGACGAATTAGTCGCATTATTTGGAAATAATGAAGTCTTGTCGAAAATTGCGGAGAATCCACAAACAACAAATGCAAATCGGCTAGGCGAAGCATTTTTAATTGTCATCGAATTATTATCTAAGTCAAAATCTGTCGACATGATTCAATTGACACATCATCTGCTTCTTATATTACATCAAATTGCAATTACTGGTCGATAGAAACATACTATTAAGAAGCACATTCACAGTCAAATTTTTCTTTCTTCTCTTTCTCTTTAGTGAACAAATTCTAGAAAGAACTCTCTTCAAGTCAAATAACTAAAAATGAATTATTTTCCACTCTTTCTAGAAAAATCAGTTCTTTGTATTTCAATTAAAAGTGAAACTGCGTATCGTTAAAAATTGCATAATTTTTTTATGTTATAGTATCGTTTTTTCGTCTTTACATGTTATGCTGTCTTTATTTATCTTTAATACTTATTTATTTAATCATGAATTTTTCGTATTGCTTTATTTTCTAAAAGAATGTTTCGTTTACGCACAGTGTTTTCCAAAACATTCACAAATAATAGAAACTCATAAAGACTGACAAAATACTTTTATAATGAATCCAAAAACGTTGTACTTTTCTAGTTTTATTTTCTGCGGCATTTAGTACAATAAAATTGATCGTATTTGCTCTGCTGTTCGAATAATGATTGACATAACGAAGCTTTTATAAACCTTTCTGCTCTTAGAGCACCTGATGTAGTAGATAAGCGAACGTAGTGCTAGTCAAAAAGTAGCAAAGCATCGATGCCAAGATGAAAATTACTGCTTAGAAAGAAGGGATGTCAGAGTCCCTACATTTCAGATAGTTTTGCGTAGATCTTCAAAACTTTCCACTTACCACTCACTGATCGAGACAGTAAGACATTGCTATACAGTTCTACGGAATGTACAGAATTCTGCGTGATGATTACCAATTTATTCTGTTTTCTTCGAATGATAGACAAACTGAAACGTGGTATAGTGGCTCAGTCTCATGCCCGCGCGGGGGGGGCCGCCCCCGGGGGGGGGGGGGGGGGGGGCGGGGTGGGGGGTGGGGTGGGGGGGGGGGGGGGGTGGGGGGGGGGGGGGGGGGG